AGATAGTGAACATATTATTAATCTGAAATAGTTTATCATTTTTATTTGTCTTTCCCTGTATTTTATTATTGAGATTTTTAAATTTTATGTACTGAAATACTTTATTTTTCCCTTTTAATTTTCTCTGCAGCTTTCACACTAAAAAGAACTTTACTTTTACTAGAGTAAATAAACTCATTTTCTAAAAGCTGCTTCCTTTTAATTTTTTTTTTTTTTTTTTTTTTTTTTGGTTGAAAACCTAGGCAGAGGAGCAGCTTAAAGATCTCTGGTATCTATCACCAAATATAGGAAGCAGTTTATGTGCTGTGACAGATTGACGACTGGTGGTCAACTTGTAACCCCCAGCTGGACTGAATAAGCATAGTTCTTATTCAGTTTGAAAGCAGATAAAGTAAAAGAGCCACAATTTCTTTTTTGCCCAGTTTTGCAGCCCTGTTAACAGGAACTGAAATACAATATAATTACAGTAGTAATAAACCATAAGCATCACTTAAACACTGAAAAAGTGTACTGTACATTTAGTGGGGTGAAGGAGTTGTGCTAGCAGGCTGAGGGATCTGCACTGGAGCCGGGAAGTGACACTCAGAAGAACCAGAACTCCGCTGAAAGGTACTACAGCCATCCTCAGCAACAGTGAGGTCCCGAGCTCCTCCAATGATCAAGATGGCCGTGTTCCCTTTAGGGAAGCTAATGCAGCAAGTTTCTCTAGGAGACTGGCAGTGCACCATCTTCCCCAGAGCCAGAAAGCGATGCTCAAAGTGAGGACCAGAGCTCCCCCGAAGTGAACTGAAGCTACTCTCAGTGCCAGCGAGGTCCCAAGCCCCTTGGAGGGTGAAAACAGCCAAGTTCATCAGGAAAGCCAGTATGATGAGCTCCTCCAAAACAACCAACAGCTCCTAATAGCTTCTGCCAGCTCCAACAGCCTTTCTCTGCTCCCAACCACCTCTCTAAGCTCCCAACAGCCTCTTTAGTTCCCAAAAGCCTTTTTTTTTCTTCTTTTCCAGTTCTGCCTCTTATGCTGCTGGCAACAGTCCCCAGATGGGCCTCCTCAGCCTGCTAGCACCTTCATCCCACTGGCACAGACTTTCTAGATGTCACCACTGACCTTTGGGCCTTCCCAGTGTAGATCCGTGAAACAGGTCTGCATGAGATATTGTTGTGGCTCTAGGCCTCCAGGTGGACTCGTGGGAGGCATTGCTATGAGCTCTCGCATTTGGCTGGACTCTGGCAGGACATCTCCATCAGATCCAGGCCCTCGGCTAGTTTCCTTGGTCTATAGTTTATGGACAGATTTCCTGTACTTTATTGTGTATCATTCTTTGGGTGACTACTATAATCTTAAATATATGTGTCCTGTATTATATTGTTTCACCTTGCAAAATATCCCCCAAACCAACACATGTAGGGAACATTTTGGGCATATTTGCAACAAAACATGAGATAGGAGAGCGTTGGAGGTAACAAGAAACAAATTTAGAGTTCTCTCTATTCTATTTGGTGTCTTTTATTTTAGATTACTATTTCAAAATTTTTCTGCATGCCTGTGATAGTATTGGAACGATGAGATTTTCCCTTCTTTCTTCCTGCGTGTTGATATGACTGAATAATTGCTATACATTTTTTTTTTTTGGTTTTTCTCCAGTACCAGGAACCGAACTCACGACCTTGCACTTGCCAGGCAGGCGCTTTTGCTGCTGAACTAAATCCCCAGCCCCGCTATACATTTCTTTATTAAGAGGTGGTAACATGCAGAAATTTTGAAATCTATCTTAAATTTTGTAATCACTTTTTTGATTTTGTTAGTTTATAAATGAAAGGCAACTGATCATTAATTGTCCTTGAAAAAGATAGCAGAAGTATAAAAAAGTTGACATAGGAATTTTGAAGTTTAATATTTCCATTTGAAATGGAATCAAAGGATACAATTGAGATCAAGAGACAGAAGAAATTTCTCTAGAAAGAAACTCAGTTGTGGAAAAGAAGTCTGTAAAAATGATCAGAGTTCAGTGGCATCAGAGTTTGTCTTAGGGTAGAATTCTGGAAGAATTCTAGTCTGGAAGACATCTAGTCTAAGGCAAGAAATAGAAGATTGGAATTAGAATGGCTTGCAATTCTCTCCTGAGCAAGCCACCTAAGCATTAGGAATAGACCAGAGTTCATGGATCTCTATGCGGTATCTCTCACCATGTAATAATCTGAAACGAAAGTGGATTAAAGAACTAGATGTTAAAATGGAAACTGTTAACACCCTGGAAGATAAAATATGTAAAACACTTGAAGTCATAGGTGTAGGCAAGGATTTCCTGAACAAATCCTGTGGCACAGGAAAAGATACCTAGAATCAACGATTGGAATCATACCGAATTAAAAGTCTTCTGCACTACAGAAGAAAGAACTAGCGTAACCTACAAAATGGGAAAAGCATTCTGCCAGATATTCCTTAGAGGAATAATATCTAGAATGTATAAACAATTCAAGAAAATTAGACATCTCCCAAATAAAAGACCCAATTTAAAAGGGCAAGATAAATGAGTAGATACTTCTTAGGAGAAGTACAAATGATCAATAAATACATGCATACTCTAACATTGCTGGGTGTTAAAGAAATGCAAATGGAAACAGCATTTAGATTTCATCATACTCCAAAAGAATGGCTTTCATTAACAAATAAAAAAACAAATTTTAGCAAGCCTATAAGGGAAAAAAGAACCCTTCCACATCACTGATGGGAAGGTAAACTAGCACATCCAGTATTGAAACCAGTATGGACAATCCTCAAAATCTAAAACTAGAAATTCCATTTTACATAGCTATTCCCTTTCTGATATCTTTCAAAAGAATTACAAACCTTGTATTACAGAGATATATGCATATCCATGTTTATAGTTTCACAATTCATACTAGCTAACTCTCGGAAGCAGTCCATATGTCCATCAATAGATAAATAGATAAAGGACTTGTGTTATTTATACACAAGGAAAACCATGGCATTTATTCTGCCACAAAGAAAGATAAAGCAGAGTCATTTTTAGGAAAGCGGATACAACTTGAGACCATGATGTTAAATGAAAAAATCAGACACACAAGCTTAAGTATCACATTGTTTCTCTTATAAGAAACGTGAATTATAAATGAAAAACAAAATAACAGAAATACAATAGGAAGTAGGAAGATAGATCTTTTTGAAAAGGAAAGGGAAGCAAGAGCTGGAGGCAGGCAGGAGAAAGGGAAGGGGAAGGGACTTGAGAAGAATTAAGATGTGTCGTGTACACGTGCCAGCTCCAGACGAGGTATGTCAACATCATGACCTGCAAACACATACTATTAAAAGTAGTTCTGTATGGGAAAAATGAAAGAAAAAAAGAATAAAAAACTAAACTACTAAAGCAGAATGACTTAGCAATGAAACAAGCAACATAAAGCTTCAGATACCATAATCATGCAATAATAAATATGACTAGAAGCAATCAAGAAAATTTACATTAAAATTATCACTAGAATGAACAGGTCATATATCCACACAGACAAGAATAAATGGTAGAATACATGTGTGAGTGAATTTAATAAAATATTATCATAGAAATTATTGATTACCTCTACTGGAGCAAAAGAACAGTAAAAACTGTTTCAAAACAAGCATTCCAATTACTCCATAGGCAATACTAATAGTAACATAGTATGTTAAATATTATTGCTGCATAACACACTTTTGCTATTTTGTAAGTTAAATTCTATTTGTAATGTCTTCCTTTTTAGACTAGCTAGGCTTAGGTTGTATTTTTTTTTTTGTTAAAATAGTCTTTTCATGCAACAAATTGAAAAATAAAGCATAAAATGGTATATGAAACTATGATCATGTGAAGAAAAGAACAAGCAAAATAACTGGCATAAAAGCAAAAAACAAAATTTTCATTGTACATAAATATTTTTGTAAAATTTCCTAGTAAACAGGGACATCTACCTTTGTGAAGGCTATGTCATCTGCATACATGTGCCCACACATTGACATTATTCAGAAAATTTACTGGAAAGACAATAAAATGCTACATGTATTCAAAGAAGAAAATAAAATTTAAGCTCATTAATCTTTCTATTTTATTTCAAAATTATTTTGGGGAGCCACACAATATAATTCAAAGTCCAGAAGGGATTATGTTGAGTTGAAGAAATTGTGTACATAGCCAGTAGATTAAATATCAAGGAAAATAAGGTAAAATAATATGTGAGACACAACTGGAGTCAGGCCTTTTGACTGTGGGAAGTTATTAGTAAGAAAAAGATGAAGCCTTGAATGAAACTTATGATGTTACATTGGGATAAGAAATTTGTGAATTCAGTATTTTCATATTTTTAGGTATACAACTATAGAAAAACAGGGCTATACCTTTAGATGTGTGTTTATGTGTGAGTGTGTAACTGGAAATTTGTAAATATGCACTTTTATTTGTGTGTAAAAGAGAAAGGGACTAAGAGACAGACAGAGAAAAGGACAGAGACAGAGAGACAGAGACACACAGAGAGAGAGAAAGAGAGAGAATGTAGACACGTATATTATTATTTTTTCATTAAGAAATCCTAGAAACAATTACACCTCTCCATCAACAAGTAGATTTACAACTAGAATTTGGTTTTGAAATAGTATACATGCTGAAATCTACCAGGGTCTCTTGAACAAATATGTAAGGGATGGAATGGAGAAATTTAAAGTGGTCCTAGAACATCTTGTTTCCAAAATTTTGCAAAGAATAATCAAGGACAATTTTCTCCCAAATCTAATCTGTGGAAATTTCAATATATAAAGTAATAATGATAATAGGATCTTCTGTTCTTTTGAACAAAACAGAAATTCACCAAACCACACCTTAAAATGAGTCAATACATGAATAAATAAGGTAGCACAGTGTTACCTCATAATTGCAAACAGAAAAGTGGAATTTTGAGACATACTACTTAGCAACGATCAAAGGAATGATTGTATCAAACAAGAATCAAGAATGGAGACCAGTACGGGCATTGCAAAGACTGATGGAGCACAAAATGTACAGAAAGTTGCAAATTTTCTACCTATAAAATCATTCTACATTAATGGATGGATTCATTAAGGTATGTATTAACTTTCTTTTCAGAGACACACGTTTAGGACATGTAGTGGAGACATGCATCATGGGATGCTGATGAGAATACATATTGCATCTTAATCATTTTTGCTTCCTATTGCTCGCTTCCCATCTCCCTCCATTCCTACAGCTTCTCCAAAAGTCTACCTTTAGGGGTTGGGAATATAGCTCAGCAGCACAGCACCGGCGTGGCAAGGGCGAGGTCCTGAGTTCAATTCCTGGTACAAAAAAGAAAAAGGTTAACTTTAAGTTGAGAAAATATAACACAGTTCTACCAATTGATAAAGGTTCATATCAATTTTTTTGTTTTGTTTTGTTTTTCCAGTACCGGGAATTGAACTCATGACCTCCCTCTTGCCAGGTAGGTGCTGTGCTGCTGAGCTAAATCCCCAGAGCCCTCATATCAACTTTTGTGGGACAAATTCACATTCTGTGTCTCTTAGTAGGACTCACTGATCAGACCGTGAGATAATTTTTTGGTATTGTTAGCAGTGATGTGACTTTGAGGAGAAATATCAGGCAACAGAAATTTGTAAAAAGCTTCAAAATTACGTTTCATTTTACACAAGACAAATACAGTGTGAAAGATGGAATTAAGAAATGAATTCAGAGTGAAGGGAGCTACAGAGACATCACAAGTAAACACGTGTAAACTGGGTTTGCTCCTGGAATTATTCAGAAAGTTACCAGGATGGTTCACCATTTGAGGAAGGCTCTGGATTGGAGGAAATACAACATCAATGTTAGTTTCTTGGCTTTTTTGTCTACAACTTCATAGCTAGTGGAAGAAAGACCTGAGCCTTCTTGATCCGAGATAAGTTTTTTAAGTACAGCAATATCACTTCCAAAATAAACTTTGGTACCAGGTTTTTGACATCACTGACTGGGTTATTAGGTTCCTCTACCTGGCTTAGTTTTAGTCCTCTGATTTCCCCTTCCTATCTCCCTCCTCCCTCTCTTTGTTGCCTTCATCCACTTCCCTATTGGGCAAGATCTGTCCCCCTGTCCCTTTTACCCATCTTTTATCATTTCCTTTGTTTGTACTTGGCTTCACTCAAATGAGGGATGCTTACTGTCTTTATAGCACAGGAATGTATGCTGTGTCATCCATCAGAAATATCATGTGGAAATTGCTGCATATCAGAAAAAACACAAGGAAAGGCTATAACAACTGACCGTAAACAACATATGTAATACTTGAATAGGTTTATTAAGTAGACTGATGACTGGTTTAAGAATGATAATTAAGCTAAAAGCTCATTTAGCCAGCTACAGTGGAAGCCAGATTAAAAAGAGAATAATCTCTGCACTATGATGAGAGAAAGTATTTGTTTATTGAAGAATTCTATACCCAGTAAAATTATCCTTTAAGAGAAAAAGAGTAAAGATAATTTCACATACACACAAGAAAAAGAGCTTACCAATAGCAAGTGTTCTTGAAAAATAAAATGGAAAACAAATTCCAAGGGATATTATTAAAACAGAGAGAAAATGAACCAAGATTGGAGAGCTGAAATTCAAGGGAAACTAATATGTCCTAAGAATGGAGTATTGGTAAAAATAGTGTAAGCAAAGCACTGCGGAAGGATGAGGCAGGAGGATTTCACACTGAATCCCATCTGTTGCTATTAGTGATTTTGTTTTCTACCTTGCTTCTATTGTTAATAAGAATGCTTCAACATTTAAATACCTTGCCAACAATCGTTATGTTTTTATTAGTGAGTTCATTAAATTGTTACTTTTTAAGGATTCAAATTAGATTTAATTGTATTATCGGGCCTAATAATAAGACAGTAGTAAGACAGTGGGGAAGACCATGAGTTATAAAGAGGTTTCAATATTTGCCTGATCTCACTGAGCCAGAAGAAAATAGATAAGTGTCTCAGGCGCAGATTATTTTTGTTGACTAAATAGGTTACATTGTTGTTTGTTAGATGATAGTATTCTTTCCCTTACACATGGCTATCTTCTCAACAGGCCTTAAATTATATTTAAAATAGGTATAGTAATGCACCTCCAATATTACAACAAAGCCACTTAATCCTAAAATTATATACATACAATATATACACCCATTAGCTTTCTACACTATTTAGAGTATACTCATTGTAAAATAAATAAAGATATGGGCCCTAAAGAAAAGATGTGTATCTGTTCTGATAATTTGCTATTTAATCTTAAGTCTTTTCTGGAAAAATTCATCAAAAGCTTCATAATAAATTATGCAGAAAGTTATTTATTAGTTGGTGAAAACAACTGTGAAGTTTCTATTTTCAGACACCAAATGTGTCTTTCTGTAATGAAGCAAATAAATTTGAAACCTATTGTGACAATAGATTAAAAATACCTCTATTCCTTAAACAACATTGTATTTATCACAATTAATATCACTATCCAGTATCATTTACTGAAAATTGTAGTGCTCCAATACTGTATCAAGTATTGATTTACATAAGACAGAATCATTATCCTACAGAAACTTGAAAAACACCAATAGTAAGTAAAGGGAGAGGGATAAATACAGCTTGAGCTGTTATTCTGTACCATGATGTGGCACAACAAAGCAGCAAATTAATGATTTGGGGAGTGTTAATTATAGTATTGAGATAAAGAACTAGAGATTGAGAAAATCGATATAATCTGCTTAAATATTCACAACTAATACTTAGTGAAACTACATTTAGTAACTAAGTGTATTTTTCTCTAAAATCGACCATAATTCAGTGCTTCTTCGGGGAAGTACACCAAGGATTATGGTAAGATGTGATGTCAGTGTGACAGTTTCAGAGTGCTGCATGAATCACAGAGGGGAAGGCAAGCAAAGAGTTAGGGTAGAAGCAGGAAAACTAGTCTGGAAACATGGAAAAGATAAAATATTACAGGAAAAAATGACATTTGTTCATTTCCTTAAATAGGAACTACATGACATAAGTCCCGGAGGAATGATTGGATGCTTTATTTAAAACAAGTGGACAGTCTATGATAGTTGAAAGAGAAAATGCACAGTCAGGAGAGAGCTGAGTAAAACTGAAAAAGAAGAACAGAGAAAGACCAAGAGTCTTTGGGGGCATCACAAATCAATCCTATTAAATCAGAGATGTGAGGTAGAGGAGGAAGAGCAGAGAGCTACTTGTTATTTTGACTCAGTTTACCTTTTAGAAGACTCATTTGGGTTTACAGAGTGAATAGGAAAGGACTGAAGTTGGACTAACATCTTTGTCTAGTTATGAAAATTAGTTTATTTGCTTTAGCTTTTCAAATATAGGCTCTGCTTTGTGTCCTCCCATCTCATTGCACTTACTTTTTATGTAACACTGAATCGTGGTGTAGGTAGCACACATATGTTTTATTTTTGTGTGTGTATTTCTGAAAGAGAGCTTGGGGTTATTTTGGGGTCTTTAAGAAATATAGTTTAACTACATAATAAAGAGACTTGAAAGGTTCTGATGTGGGAGCTACACAGAACTCCACCAAAGAAATATACCTACATCTCTTAGCTCTTGGAAAATGAACAAATAATTTTTTCTGAAGTTCCTGTGGTATTGTGTTGGTCCCATTTGCCTCATGCTGAAAGACATATATTAGTGAGAGTGAAGGATTCTGAAATCGTCTCCCTTACTGACCTCATTTTCAAACAGTGCTTTTTCTTGAGTCCTTTCCCTATCCAAGAATAGAATATATCAAAAAATGCAATTGTTGTCTTAAAGTTGTTACCACAGGGCTTGAAAAATTATCATCTTAAAGCAAATATGAGTAGCTTATATGAAATAGAAGTGTCGGTTATTGCAGAGAGCAGTGTTGTATTTTAAATCTTCCAAGGATTTTTATTTTGTCAATTTTCCTTTCTCTTTTCTATATATTAGACTTGTCCTCAAAACATTGGCTGCTTTCCAAAAGTATGGAAAGTGCTCAAATATGTCTAATTTTACAAAAAATATTCCTTCCATTTAATCAAAGCCCCTTGTACTCTATCATTCATTCAAGAAAAAACTGTAAGCTCCACGATCAATTCTTGAATAAAAATTAAGGAAGAAAACAAGCCCACATGGAAGTTCCTTCTTCTGGGGAGACCAGCAGTCAAGAAAATCAGTAGACGCAGTAACTAGAAGCCCTAGGGAAAAAAAAAAAAAGCAAAAAACGGAATATCATCTGAAGTGTCATTTGAACTAAGACTTCAGTGAAAGGAAGCAACAAAAAGACAGTGACAAGGAGGTAAAGGAGCAGCAACTTCAAAGGATTAAACAAAGAGTTTCACATATTTTAAGAATTGTGAGGTGAGTGTGCCTAGACGGAACAAGGGAAGGGACGTGGACTCCATGGGAGTGCAGAAAGGTAGAGAGGGTCTACGTTACTATGGCCTTTCAGCCTGAGATCAGACTACTGTACCAGGTGTGATGGAAGCCTGCTGTGAAGTTCTGCGCTGGATTTTTAAAAGGGTGTCATTTATATACTTAATATACAATTCTTTGCTTTGGCAAATGAGTACTGTGTGTTGGCAAGATTTTTTAAAATTAAGGAATGAATGAATCACTAATTTGGTGGCTGTTATGGGTTTTTCAGAGTGTCCCCCAAGTCACATGTGTTCAGAGGTGGGGCATTTAAAAGATGATTGGATCACGGGGAGCACAACCCTCCCCAGTGGTTGATTCACTGATAATTTCATAGCTAGATGTGCTGTTAGGAGGCATGGTCAGAAGAGGTGTGTCCTTGAGTTGTACCACTGACACATTTATGCTCTCCTTCCTTGGCTGCCTCCTTCTCTCTTCACTTCCTGGTTGGCATGAGTTGAGTGACTTTCCTCAGTCCTTCCATCATGATGTTGAGCCAGCCAACCATGGACTGGATCCCAGAATTGTGAGCCTAATTAAACCTCGCTTTAAGCTGTATCAGGTATTGAGACCCAGCAGTGGGAAAACTGACTAATGTAGTGGATGAAAGGTTTCAAAATATATTTGCTATATGACAATATAACATAGACATTAGAAA